TGTCTTATCATTTTGCGCGCCTATCCGTTGACTCCAAAATTCTCTCTCGTCGCCCCCATGTTCCCCTCTACCATTTTCAGTGCGCTGAAGCTGAGCCGCCGGGAAACCTGAAAACGGCCGTGGTGACGGATGGTGGTGCGGGAAAGCCGCACATGGCGCCCAACAATTAGATCTTCGGATCTTTTCTTCGATTTCAGCACGTTGGGAGCAGCCACGGATTATTTGTAGGCGACGCCGATGAACGGTACACGTCACACACTATAGAAAATAATTGGTTCATTGTTATATGCTCATCAATAATTTTCTGATAATTCGATGTATAAAAAATGTTACCTTTACATAGCCTTGAATCGTAAAAATTAAATGAAAAAAAAATCCCTAACCAGATACATTATTCGTTTCATCTCACTATAGAAAATAATTGGTTCATTTTTATATGCTCATCATTATTTTTATGCCCGAGATTTATAAGTGCATTTTTGTTTTTGGTATTTTTCTGTAATGCCTTCTTTATTCGTCTAAATCTTATTTATGCTATTCAAACATGAAACAGCGTAACATAGGTGTTTGTCACAGGTAGGCTCTCGGGAAGAAGAAACGTTCGCTGTTTGGTGTACCAATTTATTACATGTATACGATCTAATACAATACCATCGTGTGCCATCGAGTCATTGTGGTATATCATTTAGCAAACTTATATTTCTGTAGTTACCCACGTTCGAGGGTTTGTTTAAAGTTTTATTTGCTCACTCTATTATTTACAAAGCTCCATATGGATATTAAGGGAATTAACATCGGCAAAGTTTACTGCCTCATTACTACGGTTTATGTAATATGCAGTAAGAAAGGGTTGATTCAAGTCTCCCTATTTGAGTGTTCACCCGGTTTAAAGTCGTGGATCTCGAGGAACACACGAATTCATTCGACCAATCAAAAACGTGGAACTAGTTCGAGTCTCGTTCAAGTGGCGCGTCGACGCGCCAAAACTTACCTCCAGATTATCACTCGTAGTATTACTATATATACACGACCAATCAAAAACGTGGAACTGCTTCGAGGGCCCTCCGCTAAGGTGGCGCGCTGAAACCAGAGAAAAATTGAGACCTCATTGGCAATCTCCCTACTCATCTCTGTTCCTACAGCAGCCAATCACAGCCTTTGGTGCTCGCCGTGTAGCGGTGGTATGATTATTCATACCTCGTGCATTAATTGATGACCACCAAATGTTTTAATTAGACTACCAATCATCGGCTAGCGTTCTTGCATTGATTAATTCTTTCGAAGGGAGAATCTGTTCAGAAATATGTGTTTTATCGACCGTAAATGTGTGTTGCTACACCCATATCCAGTAAATGCTGGACAGTGCAATGGTTTTTTAAAAATTTTTTTACGAAAACTAACGACCACCAAACATTTTAATTATGATATTCGTTACCACCAAACGATTACGCATCAATTGAGCACCTGAAAAACTTAATTCGTTGAAAACAAAAAATTTTGGCTAACTTCACGGGCAAGTTTTGATTATTTGATTATAAAAGAATGACTGACCACCAAATGTTTTTATTAGGCCACCAATGACCACCAAACGACCACCAATCGATTTGGTATGATAAAAAGTTAAAAAGTTAAAATTGCCCGGCTAACTTCATTGAGGTGGCCGAGCCATGTCTCTTTCTAATTAGCATAGTAAGATATTTGACGACCCCGGACATAATAAGTTTTTGCATCATAATGTTATAATTAAATTTTAAATATTCGTAATGTTTTTTAGATTTCATACAAGCGCTATCGGATCTATTAGTACGTTCTATTTATTGTTATTTTTATATATTTTAGACATTTGGAAACTAAGCTTTTTATAAAATTTTCGGAAAGTAAATCGTGGGAAAAGGTAACAATATGGGAGAATTTATATGCATAACGTATTTTTGGCATATCGCAATATATTTTTGTTACAAAATTAATCATTAATCATTGAACACAGTTTTACATTACAATATTCCATCTCACAAGTCAAAATAAGCACTACAGTAAATTACAAAAACATATTACATGCAACTATGCATTTCACAACATTTATTGGTTTTTGGATAAAACGATCTTGTTACTTTTCATAACCTAGTCCATAACCTAATCTAATGCAATTATTTAAATAATACATTATTACTAACCTATGGAATGATAAACCTTGCGATTTGTCTGATCTTTTCTTGCAGATAAAACATGTACACACCATACCGAAGAGTATTTACAAGAACATTTTTTATCGTCGTTCGACGTTGTCGAAGTAACGTATTGTAAACGCCATTATATCACGCCACGCAATTTATAAGTAAAGGGATTAGCGTTTAACAGTACGTTCCTGAGATTCACTGAGTGATAAAAAAAGTAGCCAATAGGAACATTAGAAAAAGAGAGCTATTGGCCGCTGCCTCAGTCCCTCTTTGTCTATTCGAGCCGACACTTTTTTTCAAGGAGCTTGAAGTACGGACGCGTAGTCCATGCTATATGTCGATGTTATATGTAATCAATGGTGAGGAAACTGGAGGGAACCTACAGAGTTTATACACCGAATCCAAACAGTGTTGTGCGAAATTCATATTAGTCACTTAGAACTTCACAAATATCTTCTGCGTATTTCAATCAGTCCCGGATTATAAACTAGTAGAGACCATTCACTACACGGAATTTATCATTGTGATTCCGTCGATAAAATTGATTTTCTTTCTACCAAAAGAAGGAGAAAATGTAAATGCAATCATATAATCAGACATCATCGTCCTTTGCACCATGATATGCCTAATGTTATAATCCGAATGATCAGCTGATCTTATTCGTAATGGCTACACATTTGTAATTTCCCAGCAGACGACATCGATCAGTTAACGTACATACGCGTACTTTAGAGTCGTATTTTTTTTTTTCGTATTGACCAGAATTGACAGCGAAGAAAGGAAAAAACAGACAAAATTGAAGAACAAAACTCATGGCAGATAATGAACTGGTCAAGTCGAACAGGTAATAAAAGATGTGTTATGATAGAATACTCAACAGTTGACATATGTCAAAAACACGTTTGGAAGCTGCATGCGTCAATATCGGCATATTAGTTTCCTTCGCTGCTACCTGTGTCTTCTATTTATAAATATTCGCAATAGTTACGTAATAAACATAATATTGCGTCATTAGTAAAATGTGCGTCTTTTGTGATGTCAGAATTGTAGAGTTCGAAATGTCTTCTATCAATGGATTAAAATAATGAGTAGTACTGACAGGTGATAATTTGATAAAATTAATTTTAACATCGTTATTAATTTTTATAGAAAAAGTATACAAAGGTTTTTCTTAGATGGTATACATTCGTAAGACTTGGCGTTTTCATAAATTTTTATTTAAATTTCATGGGTCTTATTACAATTTAGGTGTATTATATTTTCAATGTATGGTTTATATTCCCACAGATAACTTTTTATAATGTCGTAAGAATGTGTGCAACTTCTAATTCTATCTGTCATTCAACATTGCATACTTTAAATATAGCATAAATTCGTAATTTTATTAGACACAAATTATATAAGGATATGGTATAGACAGCTTATCGTCTTATGTTAACAGCTGGATCTGGGGATGGTTTAGTTGGTCTGCATCATCATCAACGATGTTGCGAGCAGCTGAGAAGAAAATTCTATCGTGTAAGTTAATGTCATATCAAAATTAGTTTACTTTCTACAACTTTGCGCAGAGTTAAAATTATTATGAAGGAACAGTTGTATTAGAAAGATTAATGATGACTAGCAGATTTTTTTATCATAATGTGAACATTGCAAATTTATCTAAACAAACTATCCTGTACTTTATGTATAATATATATATTTGATCGAATAATGAATATAATAAAAGTTATTAAATACGTACACTTTTTTTTTACAGGTTTAAAAACAGCTTACCGTGGTTGGTATGTGGATATCGGACCAGTGGTGGGTACCGCAGACAAGATATGGACCATATCATTGAATGAGGAATCCCCAAAAACACCAATTGTTTTACTTCATGGTTTAGGTGCTGGAGTAGCATTATGGTGCTTAAATTTAGATACTCTTGCATCACAAAGGCCAGTTTATGCTATTGACATTCTCGGTAAATATTTTTACTTATTTGGTTGTTATTAATATCTCTGTGAACACTATACTATTGCACAATTGCAGGCAAAATTTTTGCTGTATCCCTCAATATAAATTTATGTATTATCTGCAGAAAAATCAGCTTATTGTGTAATAATTTTCTTTGTATCTGTTTACATATTACATATGTGATTATCCTATCAGTCTCTGTGTGATGGCACTGATGATCTTATTTGATAAGACTAAAACAGCACTAAACTACTTTGTCTCACTATTCCTAAAGGCTTGATATTAAGTACACTGTACAATACAAATTTTCTATTGTATAATTACTTACCACTTTAAACTTTATAAAGTAAGTTTAAAAAATTAACTTTACTCTTTGTATTCAATATCACCAATCATAGATAATAATTGTTTATTGGAATCAATTATACATAAGTAACTGTCTGTAATTTAAATTTGTACTGCTTGATTGATGTATTTTAATTAACTTTCATAACATTCAATTGAGTAATTGTGGCTCAGTATACATCTCAAATTTTACCCTATAATTACTATATACATTTCGTGGTAATGAAAATAAGAACTGGTAATAAGAGCTCAATAAACAATTTATTGCTAAAACTGATACATCTAAATGGTCACATTTAATTATATGCACATGTTCGCATGTATGAGAATTACTGTCTTGCATTACCTGTCTCTAAGGGAGTATCTTATTATTATTAGAAATCGAATGCCAGGGTCACTGTAAGCTGATATGTAATTCCAGCCTAGAGGACAGTCATAACACTAGTCTTTATAGACCTTTGTAAATCTATATGAATATACCTTTTTAATGTTTTATTGAATCTTAATATATTTGCTCTACTTCTAGCAAGAGATATTATCTCTTTCGTGCTGATACCTCCTGTGATGTATAAGCGAAATTTACATACGCACTCCCAGTCACAGATTCTTGACAACTGTAGGAATCCTGTTTACATATTCCAGAATTAATGTTTTTCCTATATATAATTCTTGATGCACAGATACTAAAATCCATTAGTAAAATGTAGCAATAGCAATAACAGTGGATATCTATCATTCAATGACAACATGTGATTAGATAAGCAAGGTTGTTTTTCTTTATTATACAGGCTTTGGTAGAAGCAGTCGACCTGTGTTTAGCAGCAAGGCTCAGGAAGCTGAAAACCAGTTAGTACAATCTGTCGAAGAATGGCGACGAGAAATGCAATTAGAGAAATTCGTACTGCTTGGCCATTCCATGGGAGGTTTTCTTGCTGCTTCCTATGCTATACAATACCCAGAAAGGGTAAAACATCTTATACTAGCGGATCCATGGGGTTTTCCGGAGAAACCAGCAGATGCAGTATCGAGGGTGCATATTCCGCTTTGGGTAAAGGCTATTGCATACTTAGTGCAGCCTTTGAATCCTTTATGGGCAGTCAGAGTAGCTGGACCCTTTGGTTAGTGGTTTGAACAATTTATTGATTCTATTAATTCAAACTAAATTTTGTTATTAATAACAAAAATACTTGATTTATGCATTAGGACAATGGCTAATAGAAACGACACGACCAGACATTGTCAAGAAATTTGCTCCCTTACTAAAAGACGATGTGAGCATAATTTCTCAATATATACATCAGTGTAATGCACAAACCCCATCGTAAGTTTAATGGCAAACATCCTATCTTCTTGAAAATGTATTAAATGCATTAAAAGTCCATTTTTTCCATGTCCATGTAGTGGCGAGAGTGCATTTCACGCGATGATGCAGGGTTTCGGTTGGGCTAAAAACCCCATCGTTAAGAGGATGGACAAATTAAATCAGGACATTCCAATAACTCTATTATATGGTAGCCGATCCTGGGTCGACAATACGGCCGGTGAGACTATAAAGCAAACCAGGTCGTCGTCATACGTTCATGTACAGGCAAGTGCGGCAATAAAACTGAAAATTTTCACATGGAAAAAATGCAGAAAATCCTGAAATTTATCATTATAACCGCTTACTATCAGAGGTCTATGTAATTCTTCCGTAGAGCCGGTTGCATGATTTTCCGTTAAATGTCAATCTTCAGTAAAGCTCTTAAAGAATATTCACATTTGGTGAATTCAGAATTTAACCGAGGATGATGTAATCAGGTCTCAGTAAATTTACTACGATTTGTATCTGTAATTCACGAAAACCGTAACTGTAATAATTGCGTATGAGCGAACCACATGCTTATATTATCAATCTTCTTCTTATCATTAAATTGATTAAGGTACTTTAACGAAACTTTTGTAAGGATTCTTACCGATATAAAATATAGAACTATCCAATCGTCATTGTGCTCTTTTATTTCAGGTGATTACGGGTGCTGGACATCACGTTTATGCTGATAAAAGTGACACGTTTAATAAACACGTAGTGGATGCGTGTACCTTGAGCGATTCCATATCAAATCTAACGTCCTCCAATATTCGTCCCTCGCAAAAAAGCATTACGGAAAGTAATTCCGTACAGCCGGATGATGAAGATGAACCCAGGGGAATAAATGAACAAGGAATAGATACATCACGACCGAGATCATGTTGACGAAGTAGTAATTCCTTTTATTTCTGAATTCGAACGTTTACAGTGTTGCGTATGGCACCTCTATAATCTTCTGTCTGCTACGCAATACATAAGCATTATTCAGCAGAAACAGCACTGAGAAAGTAAACATATTTTATTGGTGAAATTTTACAATGGTTGCAAGATTTACGATCAAATGACTAATCAAATACTCTTGCTTCCTAATCGCTGTTGACATTGAACACAATCATATAGTATGGATTTCAACGCGTCGATTAATAAGTTGTAGAGTTTAAGGCAATCGAATAATGCATATAAGTTTTATATAGAGCAAGAGTGAATTAAAGAGCTTAGTGAAAGAGTATTTTTCAAGCAATCGAAAATTTAAAAAACGCGTACATACTCCATGATCTATAGTAAAATATTTGATGGGGAAGTAAGCCAGCGCTAAAAGTTCTTTTTACAATATAAATGTCGAACGAAAATTTAAAAAATACTGAAGAAAAGTGAAAATTAACCCTTTCGTTACGGCGGTCCGCTCCGTTAGACTGACGCCACTGAACGGGGCACCGCGCCGCAAAGTGTGCACCTTGTACATCATTAGTCTTCGGTGTTCGCACTCACGTCTTTCAACGACTATAGTCGGCACTTCTAACGAAAGGTTTAAGTATGAAGCAATATTTTATACTAAAATGTTCCTTTTTTGTTTAATTAGTCTAAACATTTTTCCCTGGAAGCTATATTCTGTTTGAAGATGATCGGTAATTACAAACAGAGAAATTTACAGTTAATTTTGATCACCAAGATTTTCAGATTTTGATACTCTTTGGCTTATCCATTATGCCTATATTTATTTTTAAGTGATTGAGGGCATAAAATAGTTTGCTGTCATTGTAAATCAAAAATAAGAAACTTAGATTAAATTCCAGTGTTGTCTTAGCTAATACTTTTTAATTATATTTTTACCCTTAATAATCGGTTGCGTAATACAACTGACTATTAATATTTCCAATTCATATATTATGTGTAATGTCAGAATAACGGGATAATTCAAAGTAGAATTCAAAGCAAAACATTGGAGTTTCGTTTTCAAGCTTCTTTTTAAGTTTTATTTTTGAGAGCTTAGATAATTAAAGAACTGTAGAAATGTACAATGTGACATAGTACTGACCTCCTAAAATATTATTATTATTATTATATGTATGCATAAAAGTCAGATCATTATTATGTATTATATTTACACAAAACAATAAATAATACTCTGCGGTCATATCATTTTTCAACCTTTATTTCAACTTTTCTAATTCTATCTCGTCAGAGTAATCGTCATTATAAGTATCATATGATTCGTCTACATTATAATCTTCAGTATTGTCTACATTGATATCATCTAACTTTTGAAGATTCATTTTTGAACGCTCCCTTCGTTTTTTATGTTTTTCGTCAATTATACGCTGGACTAAAAATTTCGAAAACGCTTCCTTGTCTTCTTTAGCAGTCAAATAATCTGCTACCTTAAATGAATTCATGGTTATTGGTGCATGTGAATCAGGCAACTGTGAGTTCAGTCGACTTTGAGCAGCTCCATGTGATTTTTTCATTGATTGTTGGACCTAAAATAATACAAGTTCTGTAACACCTTATTTGCTATAAATTATCATTAACAGATGAATACTACTTACTCTTGACATAATATTGAATTGGTTTAATCCAAAAACATCACATCGCATTGGAGGCAGGTTTATAACAAATTCATTGTCCTTGTTTTCCTCAGATGTTTCAATGTCTTTCAGTTTAGAACGAATGTGAGGTGAAAGTTTGAAGTGTAATATGGATTCCTGAGCTGGTTTTAATATGTTTGTGGTAGGTGTGAAATCATCACCAAAATCTGCTATCGTTAGTTTACTTTCAACTTCTGCTAGAAATGAGAATCTTTTGTCTTTCACAAATGTTATCACTGGGACTATGCCCACTATACGGAGTTGAGTCAATTCGTGTCTTATGTGGCCAGCTGATGAATGCAGAACTTGCTCTATTTCATTATCATGCTTTACATCACCCTTGGTAATCCAATATACTCGAAGGTAGTCAAATCGTGGTGTTACTTTTACTTGTGATATTTCAATCCCTTTGCCAACCAATTTAGATGCAACTTCACCAGTGGACATCAAATCTGTTATATATTCCATAAAGAGTTTATTCAAAACATTCATTCTGCGGTTATTACACTGAATCTCAGGTTTTTCCAATATAAAATTACTTGGCATAGTAGTTGTAATCGTTTCCTTATACCATTTCCTGAAATATCACGTATATTTGGCAATTTCCCAGTGTATTTTAGATACATTAACACTGTATATATCAATATATTCGATATACATATATATATACATATATAAATAATTGTAATTACCTTTTAGATTGATCATTGTTTAACATACGTTTCATGAACCTACTTTGTCTGGCAAAATAATTTTTTAAATTTACAGAACTACAATGAATATATCGATGTTGAATAAAAAACATCATGAAACTGTGTCGATATTGCATATTAAAAAACTTTTTAGTAATTTAATGACAGAATAACATTATCTTTAATTGACGTAATCATAGCCTCTTGAGGTTATGAAAGGTACGGTATGTGGTATCTTCGAACTTATAGAAACCTTACGATTCGTGATAAGTGACAAAACCCGCAAGAAACAAAGATGTAAAAGCTAAATGAAATCATATACGTTTGTATGAAATATTTGTTTACGTATTCATAAAACATTATATTCTATTTTTGTAAAAAAATAAACGTGCATTGATATATCATTTGAGAATGATAATACACTAATAACACTAATGCATTGGCCTCTCATGCGGACTGGAGCATGATAGCATACTGGATGAGCATAGTGGTAACAAAGTGGAAAATCGCGCGCAGTATCTCAATAAAGCATTCGTGACAGACAAACTGCTAAAAATTAAGTTTCAAACAGATAAAACCTATCGTCACTTAAATGCATCTTTGAATATTACTGAGGCGTGAATGCAAATATAATGAAATTGGTTTGTTGCTGCGCAATAGACATTTATTCAGTGTATGTACAACACCCGTGCGCACAAAAAAGTAGTCCTAAATTTTTCAGGCAGATCAAACAAATTTTCCATTATAATAATTATATACTGAATGTGTATAAAGTTATAAAGTTTTTCATAATTATCAACATATTAAACCAGAAGATTAATATTCTCACGAAAAGTAGCTCACTATGTGTATTTCCCGCCAAGTTGGCAGAAATGGCGATGGTGCACGACTGTTTCCCGCCAAGGCGCTACAGGCTTCTCGTATGGCGCACCTCAGTTAGGCAGTGATAGTGTTCCAGTGATTTTTCATAGTTTTCCGTAATATTTTTTGTGGAAAATGGGGCAGTCGGACGATGTCGAAGATTCTACGTACAGCAGACATCAGGATTTATGCCAAAAGTTAAATATGGATGCTACCGCGGCATCTGAAGCCTGGAGGTCCTACGAGACTATTCGACAGAATTACACTTTAGAGGTATTTCATCAAATACAACTGTCTAACAAATTTCATGGACTTTTCTTATTAGAAATGAGCGCTCCAACGTTTTTCCTATAATTTTATAATTGCCAAACACGTAGAATTCTTCATGTAACCCTTTATTAAAGGACTCAGGATTCAATTTTTCGATAATACTTTGCCTGATTAAAAACATCATCTTTTCTTTACTTGCTTTAATAAAATATTCAGAAATAAAACGTTTAAGTTTTAGCTCATTCAATATAAAAGAACAACTAAAATTTTTCTTGAAATTAGCCACAGACGATTTCGGAAGTTTGAATATTTAGCGCGACATTTTGTAGTCCTATAAACAGAAAAATACAGCCTTTTTCAATTGCTATGTATATCATAATGAATGTACTTAGTTCATAAGAAGTTACAACAATTTATTTTTGTATTACCTATCAAGTTAATTTTATTCTCAGTTTAATAAATTGAATGTTGTGTTTTTATAAAGTTAAATGATAAGCATATTTGGGTAAAATTATTGCATGTTACATAGGTGATTTTTATGTATTTTCAGGGTGATCAACTTCACTGGATAGGATGTGCATTGTATGTTGCTTGCCGAAGATCTTCAATACCAACTGTTGCAAGAACTGGTCCAAATGTTGAAGGCAACTGCGTATCTCTCACACGCCTTTTGCGTTTGTGCAATTTGTCTCTGATGCAGTTCTTCACAAAAAGTAAATCATGGGCAGACATGGCTAACATGCCACAGGACTTCCGCTCTAAAATAGAGAAGCTTGAGAGGAACTTTGCTGTCTCTATGGTGATATTCAAGAAGTATCAACCTATTTTTACTGACATTTTTAAAGACCCAGCAGATGATGTGTCACGTCCACCAAGATCAAGACGACACAAGACTCTACCATGTACCCCATCCAGAGTCTTTGAATTTTGTTGGACCCTTTTTGTCTGCATCAAAGGAGCTTTCCCTGACATCTCTGATGATCTTGTTAATTCTTATCATTTACTTATCGTCACTTGTGATTTTATCTACAGTAATGCATTGCTAGCAAATAGAAAAGATCTTCTTAACCCAGTATTTCCTGGTAAGCAATTCTTATACACTGTCCATGAGTTCAATGTGTTTTTTTGACAGATTGAAAACAATTAAGTGTCCAGCATAGCATTTATTTCATTGCATAAAATGTTTGTTACAAAGTATGCATATGCGTGGTTTTACACTAAATACGTTTTATTTTACCATATATTTACATTATTTTATGGAAAATCATGTGTCACTTGGTAAGGACTGTGCCTTGCAAATTGTCAAAAAATCATACCGAGCTCGGGGGCCGACTATATCAATTTATCACCGACAGTAAACTTTATTATTATATTTTATCATATCTAAATATCGTTCGTATCCAGGTTTGCCACCAAACTTCAACAATGATCACTATATTCCACCAAGAGTAGCAAACTGCATTGTTAATCTTCTCTGTGAACGTCATGATGCCTTAGTTATTGAGGCAAAAGGTATCAAAGAATACACGTTGAAGAATCACATAAACAAGTTATTCAACGAGAGGATTTTACGGGGCGATCAGTCAACCTCCTCTGGAATTTTAGAAGCCCTCTATTTTGACGGCAACAACAAGGCTGTAAACAAAGCCTATGAGCAGCACGTTTTAAGTGTGGGGGATTTTGATGAACGAATTTTTTTGGGTAAGAATAATAATATACTTTGAAAAATAGACAAGTTTCAAATATAATTGGTGCACAAAATATTAATAAAATAATCAGCTTCATTCGTATCAATCGTACTGAATAAGTATTTTCTTGGGGTCAGTTATCTGGCTTTCCAGATGCGGAAGGGACTCTGAACTTTATATTTCGGTACAACTGTTTCCTAAGTGTGAAAAAATGCGTCCTTTAATAGAAGAAGCATGCTTTGACCTTCGTTAATACACAGTATGGCTTTTAATAACAGCTAATCAGACCTTAAGCACTAAAGCCCACCTGTTCTATAAATCGAACCCGCTTACGTATCCCCATTCCCTACTTGCATCTGGCAATAAGCATGCCTTGCATATTATTTACATGCAGGTCACCCTTCAATTTCAAATGCATCACATGTAGCACCCTGTTAGATTATCATTTTTATACACCTACATATTATGCATCTTTGTGTATGTATCTAATTCAATTACAATCTATTGCATTCAGCTGCACTCATGTATTCTCTTAATCATTTACACTTCTGGCTGTTAACCTGTTTCTTTCCGCTTTGTCGTGGCTGTGATTTGCAGCTGAGTGGAGACGAATCAGGATGAGTGGAATGTCAAGCTTGGAAATAGTCGGCAGAGAGATTGCTTATCGCGCTAAACTTCCAAGACATATGACTTTGAAAGGTGGGTTTTCATGGCAGTGTAGAGAATAGAGATAGGCTCACTTTAATGCAACATGATCAGTAAATCTCGCCGACGCAGGTTGTTTTTGTGAACAGTACATAGATACTATATGTCATATTTAATTGGGTATACCCTAGGCAGCAATGGGATTGATGAAAACTTTCTATTGAATAATTATTAATAAATATCCTTTCGGTTTCAGGTGCTGATGCTAAGGATAATATCGGATCGCCTACGGATGCTGTTAACTTCGGTGACCTTCATGAACAATTTCAGTTCAAGAAGGAACAGTACGGTGGCGTGAGTATTTTCCAAATTTTTTATATTAGTCTGGATCATCTTTTGGAAGTTGTTAAGGCTCATGCGCTGTAATGAAAGAAAAATACTTTTTGTAATGAAAGAAAAAGCAAGCACTAATAATACTATTTTCTCAAAGATAGAAAAGGTAGAAAGGTACTCCAAGGTACAGCATGATCTTTCGCTTACAATTGACTCAATACTCTTTCCAAATTTCCCGGGACTACGCAATACGAAGCAAACTAGACTTAATGAAATGCCGGATGGGCGCCAGATGCATCGTTGCGTCACGATACTTAAAGGTACTCCCTCGAAAATATGAAAAGAGGTCCGACTAACAGGAACGGAACGCAGAGGTATGGTAGAGGGGTTGGGTCAATGCTGATGTTAAATAAGGGAGAGATAAAGGAAAAGATATAAGAAATTCAGATTGAGAACCTATCAAATTCAGTAACAGAAAACATAACAAATTGGCCCTTCTATTCTGGGACGTCAAATTAAATTAAATTAACAATTTAACAATTTCGAAAAACAAGATGAATAGCACTCGCGACAAGGTTCTCTTCGGGACATGTGAAACAAAATAAACCTAAGACCGAAAGTCACGCGATACTAGGTCCTCTATGGGACATGTTAACAATATTCGTGATGTAAAAGATAATTACTACAAAACATACACAAAATTATAGAGAACGCGAAAACAGAAAATATATAACTTAGTTTAACGACAAGACAATACGTGAACTCACGAGACGCATGCAACACGGATTCGTTTAACAGTTCTCGAGGGCACTGACGCATAAGTCTAAATTCAATAATACATTTCGAAAATACAGAAATTAATAACGGAAGGCATGGAATTTTTTCCTAGCTGGCAAAGTACGAACATCTCCTAGGCTGAAATCGGGAGGAATGAAACGAAACAGATCTATACGTGCTAATGCACGGAAGCCAAGATAGAAAAGATTTCGCCCTTTAGACAAAAGTGCTTACCTAAGCATTACATTTCGGTACCACATGTGAGACAATTACTTTAGCGAGACCGGCCAAAACGGCTAACGAAAAACGAATGAATCTTGAGCGTTCTTCTTCCTACCGGTCGAGGCTAGCTTCCTCATGGGAGATCTGGTATGGCTCACGGGGCCAATCGCCTACGCGGAAGTCTTCCGCCAATCCGTGGCTTACGCGCGAAATATAGGAAACATGCCAATGGACTAATTATAAAAGATATTTTAACGATACCGAATTATGAGATCGCTACTCGACGCGAGAGGATCTTTACGAGATCAGATATTAACCAGAGCCTCCATTTGATCGTTTAGTTGCTTGGGCTCGTTTTCTTCAACACGGTTCAATGCATAAGCTGCGTTTATCTTCAAAATACAAGTGTCTGATTGGCTAATAGCACAGTTAAACCAAGTTTATGCATTGAACCGCGTCGAAGAAAATGGGCCTTGGAAGGATGGTCCGCGAAATCTGGGTTCCACTGGAGTCTACGTACGATACATTGGCGTACGTCGCCTTGTCGCGAGATTTGGAACGCAGTAATAATCAGGACGGCCTGCTGCCGTCATTCCTGGGTGTACAGGTGATGTCGGGTGCGTATCTTCGTCCGGTCCTGTGTGGACGGGACGTTGAAATGGCGGAGGGTCCTTTCTTCTCTGCCTAGGGTAGCTTCCTGAGCTTCCTCTTCGGTACGGATGCCGTTAGCTAAGCATCGGTACCGGAACTGGCGTAACGATAAGTTGTCCATGGCGATGTTCTCGTCGGGTCTGCTCCCTACTTTATTTGGGGGTGTCCGTAGCGGGGTGGAGGTGTGTTGGCTAACAGTGGCGTTCCTCCACGCTCCCTCGCGTGACAATAGGCAGTTTCCTTCGGGCAAGACTGAGGAAAATGTTGTTCTCGCTGCGGTACAGAATCCCCCTCGTCGCAATGGTATTTCGATATGTCGCATAAAATTATTTTACGGTAGGAATTAATCTAACATTATTAAATTATATACTCGAGACCCTGGAGTTCTTGGCCGTTTATTTTAGTTAGCGCAACTTTAAGAGACGGAACTACATCCCGCATGATAAACACGACAGTCAATTCATTCTAGACTTGTGACGTGAATAACGTCACAGCGCATATAAGTTATTTCATATAATCTTCAATAAAATATGAAATACTTTGATCATTATTGACATGAATAAATACGATGTGCTAAGTGTAATAATAACCAATAAAAAAATTAAAATCAACTTTTTTATATGATAATTAAAATCGTATACAAGTTTAATATAGTTTTTCTTTATGTTACTATATAGCAAATGCAGCATTTGACGCCGCCGACGCCTTTAACCGGGCGCAAATACCTTAGAAAGAAAGATATGTCCAATGTGACAGCAGTGTCTACCGCAACGCAGAGTGTTAGTCGTCTACAGGCTTTATTAGCTGGTCGCCAAGCCGCTCCAAGTGAAAGTCTCATAGAAATGTTTAACAGTTGCACTCAGGATGTTAGGACGGTGGAAGCAAGGGTGAGGGAGATTGGTGAACAATTTTGCGCTGAATATACTCTCAATACTGAAGGCAACGAAGCGTCAAATTTAAATTTTGGAAAGAAACGTCTTCACCTGGGACAAACTCTGTATTATAAACTCCTGGAGATGATCTTAAATGATGAAAAACGCAGGAAGCCTAATTGTGATATCATAGTAAGTCATGGAAATGATAAAAATTTGTTTAAACAACAATGGATATTATGGATATTGTATTTATTTCTTCGTATTTTTTTTCAGAATTTGCTCTCAAATGAAATATTCCATCGGTGCCTTTTCGCCTGTTGCTTGGAAATAGTCATCTATTCTTATAACAGTGATAAGGTGTTTCCATGGATTCTAACAGCCTTAAACTTGGACGCCTATCATTTCTATAAGGTTATAGAAATCATCGTCAGAGATGAGGAAGGACTGTCGCGCGACGTAGTGAAACACCTGAATCTCATCGAGGAGACAATTTTAGAGTCACTTGCTTGGCGAAGCGAGAGTCCTTTATGGACTGTTATAGGAAATGCAGAAGGTGGCGTGCCGAGCAACGAAGAAGTTACTTTATCGGGCAACGCGGACACTTTTGACCCCAATACACCAGGTCAACCTGTTTTACGAAGAATCGCGCTGGACCGTGGGACTCAGCACGACATCCAGCAAAGTCCAATATCATCTGCATCTGAAAGGTTTGTTTTATTTCTTATTGACACGAGAAAGATGTGTGAGAATTCGAAATTTACGGCCAATTTCTATCAGATTTCAGTCTCCTGTGGTTGCTTCAGGTGTCGCTAAGAAACGACTGTTTCCTGACAGTAGAATCAGTGGACAGAGTATCTTACGAGTAGGGGGCCAAAGTGTCTTGTCTCCAAAGGTCGTAACGATTGACGGTAATCAAAGAATACTTTTGACACTGCCAGACCACCAGATAGCCATTCCAAAGACATCAACGCTGCAAGGTTGTGGCGCGCCAATCCAGTCAAGTACAGTGAACAGAGAACAAGCGAAACCACGACGAACGGGCTCTTTGGCGCTCTTCTTCAGAAAATTTTATAATCTGTCTAGTATACGTATGCAGGATCTATGCAAGTCTTTAGATATTGTCGATGAGGAGATGAAGAAAAAGATATGGACAATTTTTGAGTACTCTATTAAGGACCGTACTCACCTTATGAAAGATCGGCACTTGGATCAGATTCTTATGTGTGCTGTTTACGTAATATGTAAACTCGCGAAGATGGAGAGAAATACCTTCACGGAAATTATGCGTTGTTATCGGTTACAGCCCCAGGCTGAGTCGCATATTTACAGGTCAGTACTTATCGACAAGAATGAAACAAATGGCAACAGCGAATCGGACAAAACTAGAAACGTTGAAGCCTCGACGGATCAGAGAAATAATATCGCACCACCAACACCTACCAATATGGCTGGAACCTCGCGTAATTTCGGACCCGAGACTCGTGGCGACCTTATTAAATTTTACAATACTGTCTACGTGCCACAGGTTAAAGAAGTTGCGAACAAACTTGGCTGGTCTCGAGGTGGTGTTATGAACTTGGCCCTCAGTCCATTACCGCAATCTAAACCTAGTGCTAGGTCTCCAGTTAGACGTGTCACAAACAGTGTAACCACCAGGACTTTGGATCCGACAGCAATCACAGCATCACCAGCTCCACAGCTCAGTTACTCACTAGGTCGCAGTCCTGCCAAAGTAATGACAAAGAAGTTAAAAACTAATTACTATTTATTCAAAAATTAATCGTCTAATTTGTGTCTTCTAGGATCTGGAGGCTATCAACAAGATGATGATATCCGTCGACGCTAAGAAATCTGTCGGCAAGAGATTATTGACAGATGACACAGATATCGAAATGACTTCAGTAGAGCATTCTCCAGCAAAGAAAAATATGACAACTTCATTTGTCACCAGGAAGTTAGAAAACATTATCGGTGAACGACGTACGCAGAATCAATAGAGTATCATTATAATTAAACGGCGGTCCGCTCCGCTAGAGTCGTCACAGGTCGTCGCATAGATGCTGACTATAGTCGGCACCCGTAACGAAAGGGTTAATAATATGAGAACCACGTTATGTAGGAACTGTGCTCATGGCAAGGAGCTCAAATTTCTGTGCTAAATCAGAAATGTCCCAGGAGTGACGATACAGTGTCACGTTCCCACTCTACAGGACTTGGTGATCGTATCGCCAGCCGAATCAATAATCATTTTTTATAAACTCCGTGCAAAGAAGAAATGTTTATACATATGTATATTTTAGGTATGTAATGGCTCACTTCATTATTCGCGTAACGATCTCGTTTTTCTCTCTTCTTTTCCCCGATTATCTTATTTTTTCTTTTCTTTATTACAAAAAGCCATTGCAAGTCTCGGAAGAATCATGAATTAAATTTACTCTTCAGCAATAGGTCACCCTGAAATGAGTTTAGTAATCTTTAATGAAGCTACTATGGTACCCCCCCCTCCCTTTTCTCCTTGACTCTTTTGGTTGCCTGGGTGCTTGATATACTATTTTTGTTTAATCAAAAACTGCGTCCTAGCTAATTGAAAGACTTTGTCGTATTTCCTTTACTGACCGCGAATGTAAGGTGAAATATGCAATGCTCGCTGTGGTAAGCACGCAGATGCGATTCGGGTGATATGTTAATTAATCTAATTTACATTATCCTTTCGATCTAAATTTATTCGAATCATTCGAAAAGAATAAATGAAACATAAGTTGAATCTAATGTACTTCGTAAAACACTTCGCTATGCCAGCATTTTTTATAACAAAAATATAGCGAGACTCGTTTCACTGCGGGAGAATATTTTTTCTCTGTCAGTGTTACGGTAAATCCGTGATCGACTTTCTACATCTAGCTGTAAGTGTTTCCAAATTATATTTTATAACATTTGATCTCATAATTAATCCAACTATCACTAAACTACTTGTATAGCTTAAAATTGGAAAAGAAATATATATATATTAAAGCATGATTTATAAGAGTTTTCGAAATACTAAAGTAACAGTACACTGGGTGTCGCACACCCAACACCCAGTGTACCTTTAGTGATCGGATGCCAAAGTGTACCGTTCTAAGGTTAAGGTACATTGTGTGAACCGACGAGTTTTCCTATAGATACTTCATTTTTCACTCGCCATTAATATTATTTTTCGTATTAGTTTTAAATAAATGAGTGAGTAGTGCAAACTACTTCACCCAGAGTGTATACAATTTTTTCAAGATGTAATTGAAAATTATTAATTTGTACATAGTCATTATAATTCAAGTATAAATGCGAAAAATAGGCAATGATAAAAATAATAGATAATAGTAAACGCTCTCTCAGAGGTGTTGCGAGTTATTGCGAGTGATCCGCAATTTTGTTTACGTTTTTGGCATGCATTTAATAAAGATACAACGATGTTCGCCGCATGCATACTTATGAATAGAAATTGCAATTTTTTAATTTACTTGGTTTTATAGAATTTTTACAAGAACATGTATCGGATGTTCAGATAAGGAAAATCATTAGGAATTGTAGTATGGAAAATTCTCGGGATTGAAAAGTTTGTCAATGGAATGGTTGGGCTTAATCTCGGTGTAGCGTCGCTCGAATTTTCTATTGATATATAATATACAGGGTGTCCCACGACTTATTCCCTAACGGGCACTGGCATATTCTACGTTGAAAATAGAACAAAATGCAATTTGTCCTAATGAAATCGGTTGCAGGGTTCTCGATAAAATAAATATTAAAAATTTAGAAATGTCATTTTAAGTGATGATTTCCAATCACCGCCAAAAGAAAACAATAGCAGTAGAAAAAGTAGAGTAGCAGTAGAAAAGGAAACTGGCAGGCGTTTGATTCTGTGAACACATTCACTTAAGTAGAAACAGTAATATTATCATTAGACTATAACTTATCGAATATCAGACATTCAATCGCACACTTTTTAAAGTCGGATAAATAAATTTAATGTTCTGAATGGTATTTATTAATGTATGTATGTACTCTGATCTTTTTCCCGGACATTTTTTTGTACATTTTCAATTATTATTAAAAAATAATAATAATTAAAATAATTATAATTATTATAATTATTTTTTCAACAATTATTTTTACCATTTCAAATGATATCGGAAAAAGTTAATTTAAAAACTTGCAGAGCAAGAAAAAAATAGAGATGAAACAAAAATTCGTAAGGGTAGAATACATAATAAAGATCAAAGAATACATACATTAATAAATACCATTCAGAACATTAAATTTCTTTATCGGACTTTAAAAAGTGTGCGATTGAATGTCTCATATTCGATAAGTTATAGTCTAATGATAATATTACTGTTTCTACTTGAGTGAATGTGTTCACAGAATCGAACGCCCTCCAGTTTCCTTTTCTACTGCTATTGTTTTCTTTTGGCGGTGATTGGAAATCATCACTCAAAATGATGATGTTTCTAAAGTTTTAATATTTATTTTGTCGAGAACGCTGCAACCGATTTCATTCGGACAAATTGCATTTTGTTCTATTTTCGACGTAGAATATGCCAGTGCCCGTTGGGGAATAAGTCGTGGGACACCCTGTATATATATATAAGGTGCCTCCAATATAGATAAATGTACGTACTCACTATAGACATATAGTATGGATTGCATGATACCTACTTTAACTATCTGTAAATAATGTCCGTCTTAAAACGAGATGGATAGAATGAGGAATATATCCATTGATATATATGCATAATGGGACTCGTACCACGCGTGCCCACACAGAGAGAGAACGTTGGGGGGTCGTCTCTCTCTCACATATTGTACAGTATGTCAAAAGTTAGTATCGTGAGTACTACATGTAGAGTATATATATATAGATTCAGTTGTAATGACAGCAAAATTCTTTATCGTTGGAGAATTGTAATTTGTAGCTCAGATTCTACTTACATGCGTAGTTCGCAGTAGAGACAGACAGATAATCAAACAAAGGTAGATAGAAAACACTTGGCACACACCGGCACAGCATATTTTTATTGTAGTATACACACCTTTCAACATGCAAACGTATATTTCACAGTGGAAGTATTCTATTCTTTATCTCTTTCTAAAAATTCTATTGGTAGATGGTATCTAATCCAGGGACGTGTGACTGCTGAAAGTCTTCCTCGAAATTGTTTACTATTAACTGCTGGTTCCACAATCACGGTTTATTTTTTAAATACGGTTTAACTTCTCGCTTATGAAATTAGATACTTCTATTTCGAAGATAAACCGAGTTTAAAAAATAAATCGTGATTGTGGAACTGTCCCTTAGTTGTCTTTCAAGTATTACCATTTTTGTTTGTAAATATATATTGCAATTATTCATTTTTAATTAGATGTAAATTAAATGCACATAATTTGTTTGCTATTTGCCGCCATTTTATGAAAAATGTTCTATCTCATATTCTCAAAAGAGTGGGGCATTGAATAATAAGATACTGTCCATGATGAGAAAGAGATGAGTAGAAAAATATCTTGTGTTCCGACTATCCAATCAGAATACAGTACTATAAAGAGTATGGCGCATTCAGCATTCGATATCATCGGAATTATCCGCAATACGTCAAATACGATTTTTCCATTTTTTTCACCAAGCTGCGTTTTATCACACATTTTAATTGGCATATTTATGGGCATCAAACGATTTCCCATCGAATGGGAAATCTAGGCTGCCATAAGGAAAGGGAAGGAAGGAAGGAAGGACGTTGAAACCTATCTCATAGTATTTGTAGATAACAGATTTCGAATCTACTTACTGCGACAAATCTTAATATTTCCTATATTGTCATAGGATGTTGTAGTTGTCAATTAGTGCGTAACATCTAATAGCCATGGCTTCGCCTGGCTTCAGTCTGCCCATAGTCACCGAGAAACAAAAACGAGGGAAGAAAACTCAGGTTGGTCAGGTAAATTCGGAACACCCTGTATATAGTAATAGGAACATATAGCGGTATACGTTTATTCATGACATATCACTCGAGATTACGAACCACAGTATTTGCGGACTAGATATCTATTATCGAAAACTGCACTAAGGTTTAAATTTAAACTACACTTGATCAGTGTACCTTGTCGAGTTATACAGGGTGTTTCTTAAGCCCAGGACAGGAGACATACCGTTAGATCCGGCGTGAAAAAATAAAAATATTGGCGTCAACAATATTCAAAATTTTTAATTAGTTTATTAATTATTACGGATTAAAGTAAGCCAATCATAAGCGCGTGAGAACTGGTAACTCCTCAGTCTTCTCCCATTGGGGACAACCAATCATATAACTCCTTACAAAAACAGTGTCCGGTGGATACGTAAACGAATATAGTAATGTAAATAAACAAAAGAGTAACGGAAATAAACAAAAGAATAATGCAAAATGTTTTTTGTGGGGAAATAAATGATTGGCTGTCCCCAATGGGAGGAGACTGAGAAGGAGTTACTAGTTCTCACGCGCTTATGATTGGCTTACTTTAATCCGTAATAATTAATAAACTAATTAAAAATTTTGAATATTGTTGACGCCAATATTTTTATTTTTTCACGCCGGATCTAACGGTATGTCTCCTGTCCGGGGCTTAAGAAACACCCTGTATAAACATCATACACTAGAATTCTACACGCAGCTAAGCTAAAATGTACGTACGATTAATTTTCAGACATTAAGGATTGCAAATATGCACTTCTGCAAATATGCACTCTATTGATTGTAGACACATTTGAGGTCCGCCAGAAAAGAAAGAATAATGGTCGTTTTCTTCGACGCGGTTCAATGCACAAATCGGTTTAACTGTGCTGTTAGCCAATCACCAGACACTGGTATTTTGAAGATAAACGCAGTTTATACATTGAACCGCGCTGAAGAA